TCCCAAGGACGCACAGGGACTCCAGTTTGGGATGCAAATGACAAATTATGTCAGCTGGGGGGCTCTGTCCTTGACACATTCAGGTCCAATGTTTATGGAAATTAAGACACCTCAAAAAGACAAGTTCAGACAAATGCATTGTTGGTGGAGTTGTGAAATGATCCAACCATTTTGAAGAGCAATTTGGAACTATGCCCAAAGGGCTATAAAAATGTGCATATCCTTTGACCCAGTAATAGCATTTCTAGGGCTATATCCCAAAGAGATCATACAAATGGGAAAAGGACCCACATGTACAAAAAATTTTCATAGCAGCACTTTTTGTGGTGGCAAAGAATTGGAAATTGAGAGGATGCCCATCAATTGGGGAATGGCTGAACTGGTATATGTGGTATATGAATGTAATGGAATACTATTGTGCTATAAGAAATGATGAGCAGGCAGACCTCACAAAAACCTGGAAAGATTTGTATGCTGAGTGAAGTGAGCAGAACCAGTAGAACGCTGTACACAGTAACTGTCACATTGTGCGATGACTGACATTGACAGACTTAACCCTTCTCAGCAATACAAGGATCTAAGACATCTCCAAAGGCCTCATAATGGAAAATGTTATCCACATCCACAGAAAGAATTCTGGAGTTTGAACACAGATTGAAGCATACTATTTGTTATTTTTTTTTCTTCTGTTGTGTTTTGTTTCCTCTTTCTTGTGGTTCCTCCTATTGGTTCTAATTCTTACTTACAACATCACTAATGTGAAAATATGTTTAATAGGAATGTATATGTATAGCCTATATCAGATTGCACGCCATCTTGGGGAGGGAGGCAGAGAAAAATTTAAAACTCAAAAGCTTATGGAAGTGATTGTTGATAATTCAAAATAAATTAATTAATAAAAAAAGGGGAAAAAAAGACAAGTTCAGGGGGGCCGCTTAACATTCCTTACCATCAGCAACATTAGAATATTTTAAAGGAGGACTGAGCAAAACAACTGGGGCAAGCTGATGGTCTCATTCAAAGAGAAAACAGGGAATCTAAGAGCTATCAAGACAGACTAAGTAAGGTGTATAATAGAGATGCGGCAGCTGAAACAACAGAGGACACCCGAAATCTAAGAAAAATGGATATTTCCCAGGTTTCTAACACAAAGAAACATGTAGGAGGGCTATAGGAATAGAAAACTAGACTTTAAACTGTAGGAGGGCAGGGATTATGTCTTACTTAAATGTTATTTCTTCCCCAATGCTTAGCACAGCAATCTACACAAATCAGATGCCCAACAAATGTCTGATAAATTGAACTTGGTAAGTTCTTCAAATGGAAGAGCCTCCTGGATGGGGGGAGGGTTTAAATGTGATGAATTAGAGTCAATAGACTATAAATCTTTTGCCATATATTTCTAAATTTCCGTTTAGGCAGTGGATGTTTTATCTTCCATTTGCTCAAAAACAATATTCTCTAATACTCTGGTCCCCAGGTAAAAGCACTTACCTGTTCATCTTCTCTCTCTTCCCCATTAGGGGGACAGCAAGCTCCTTCAGTCATGTCTCAACAGTACTCCTTCAGGAAAGCCTTGGGAACTCAGTACAACATAGCTCAGTACAAAATTTCTGGCAAGGCCAGAAATTGAGAAGCCATAGATGACAGTTGAAAAGTCAAGGCTTCTGTCTTTTCATTGGTCACACAGGCCGAGGCCGAGGAAACAGGACTCATAAGAAATCAAGGGCAGCTGGTAACCTCAAGATTCCTGTCCAGCCATCTCTGGGGGACTCAGTTCTCCCTCGGAATCTTCAAAACATGCACTGATTTTGGTGACTTGGATGTGCTGCAAGGCCAAGCTGCTTCTGCAGATCAAGTCCCTGGGCCCTCAGGTCCAAGTGAACTGTCGATTCTCCTCAGTTCTGCTAGCATGAGCATCAGGGTATGTTTCTATGTACCAGAAGGCATTCACAAAACCCAGGCCAGTGAAGAGTGCTCTTCTTGTGTAGCAAACAAAGCCCTAGGCAGTGCTGGGACTATTGTGTTCAACCCTGCAATAAAAAAATCAAACTCATGTTATCATCTACAATTGTGGTCTCTAATGGAGAGAGCTGGTACCCCCGGTAAGTGATGACATCACTCCATGGGGTCACGAGCCAGAAGATGACAGGTCTCATGGCGCCTTCCAGGACTAAACAATCCTTGTTCTTCAATACAATTCCATCTAGCCTAGTCAGGTCCTATTGAGCACTGCATTCTGGTCCAGGAATCATGGCTTAAGAAGGACACTGGTAAACTGGAGATGGACCAGAGGAGGGCAACCAGGTGGGGAAGGCCCAGAGTCACATCATAGAAAGATTTGGTGAAGGAAACAGGGGTGTTTGGCCTGAGGAAGAAAAGCCTCAGGGGACATGCGGTCGTTGTCTTCAAGTATCTGAAGCCTTGTCTTTTGAAGTCCTGGGGAGGAGGCATCATACTTGTTCTGTCGGCCTCCAGGGGGCAGAACCAGCGGCAACATCAAAAAGGGGGAATAATCATGCCCGGGAGGGGTTATGTTAGAGATACCTGCTGTGCCTTCACTAAGGTGAAAGGCTGATTACAGTTTCACTGGTTGTCTCTAAGGCTGTTTTGCATCCCCAGTGAGGTATGAAACCCCCCACAGGGCACCTGTTCCCATGAAAACCAAACAAAGCAACAGGCAGGGCTAGAATCATAAATTCCCACCAGTCACTTCTTTAGTCAAGGCTGTGGGAAATTACACATTCTCCTGTATGGGGCAACAGCTGGTGAGAATCAGAGGCTCAGAAAATGAGAGCTCAGAGACCTGCATCACACAGTAAATACAAACACTTGAGCCGGAAAACAACAGCCATTTGAGAAAATGAAGGCCACAAGAGGTTCGGTGACCTCTCAGAAGACACACACAGGGAGTAAGCAGCAGAGACAGAGTGTGGACTCACAGTGACTCCACATGCAGGGGTCCAAAGCATCAGAAAGGCAGGGAAGGACAACATGAGGGGCTCTGCATCTGGAGCCGAGTTTCATTCCAGTTTACCTGTGCCCCTTTGGCCAAGTCTTATCACCTCTCTGCTACCTACTTTGCCCTTCTTGACAAGGGTCATTTCCAAATAAACAAATACTATCCATTCCTATTTGCAGCACAGTTTTAGGTGGTGTGATCTTTCAGAAGGCCACTCTGGGAATGAAAAAAAAAAAACTGAATTAGGGGCTATCTTAAAAAAAAAAAAAAGGAGCCTAGATGAGGGAAAGCATCATGGCATAGTGGATAGCATTGGACTTGCGAGTCAAGAAGGCCCAAGTCTAAATCTAGCCGCTGACACTTACAAGCTTCGTGACTATGGGTAAGTCAATTCAGCTCTAAGACTCAATTTACCCATCTGCATAATGGGGATAACAGCATCTACCTCATGAGGTTGTTGTAAGGGGCAAATGAGATAACTCAGGTAAAATGCTTGGCCAATCTTTAATGTGCTATGTTTTGTCTCTACAGCATCTCTTTATATTCCCTTTTTTCCACTCACTCATACTTGGATTACTGCCTTCTAACTGGTTTCTTTGCCTCAAGTCTTTCCCTGTTCCAATCCATTCTCCACATAGCTGCTAAAGTAATTTTCCCTAAACTTAAGTCTGACCATGTCATTCCCCTTCCAATATAACCCACTGGTTTCCTATTACTTCTAGAATCAAATAGAAATTCTTCTGTTTGACGTAGAAAGCTCTTCACAAACTGATATTCCCCTCCCTCCCTACCCCTCTTCAATGATCTTTCCAGTCTTTTTACACATTTCTGTCCTTCACACCTTTTTTGGTCCTCTACTGGAATTCTATCTCCCACCTCCACACTTTTACCCTGGCTGTTCCCTCCTCACGTCAGCCTTTTATACTCCCTAACTTCCTACAAGACTTAGCTGAAATATCCCCTTCTGTAGGACATAACAGTCCCCCCAGATGTTAATGCCTTTCCCTCTAAGGCTGCCTTCCATGTACTCTGTGAGTATCTTGTATTTACATGTTTCTCCCTATTAGAATGGAAGTTCCTTGAAGGCAGGGGCTGGTTTTCTTTTTCTTTTGTAATCTCAGTGCAATCACAATGCAGGGTACATAGTTGGCATTTAATGTTGATTGGCTTGGATTGGATTGCCAGAGCCTATGCTAAGGGCTGAGGGATGGAAAGAAAAGCGAAAACACTCCCTGCTCTCCTACAGCTCAGTCTAATGGGGGTGACAACATTGGAACAAACTTACTGGGTTTTTTTTAAAAAAAGTAGTTTTATAAATCTGGTTTCCATGTAATTGGCTTCCTTTGCAGCCCTACATATTGTATTTGATGCACATAAAAAGGGTCTACAGGCTTCACCAGACTGTCAGAGGGGTCCGTGACCTCCAAAGGGGACGACCCGAAGTTGCAGAAACGGTGCCAAGCTGCCCTCCTGGATGGGTTGGGATGGGAAGTCTCTAGCAATGAGAGCCCAGGTCCAGCCCCCATCCCCAGCCCCAATTCCCTCCCAGCAGGAAAAGCCCAGGATGCACCAGGGGAGCGCCCTGCGGCTGGAGAGGTTACTTTGTATCCAGTCCATCGGGTCACGCCCTCCTCCCGCCCCGAAGAGAAGCTCTCGGGACGGGGGGAAGGGGCAGCCGGGGGGATTGGGCCTTCGGCGCGGGGCCGCGTCCCACCGCGACCTACCTGCCTCAGCCTCCAACACCGCCTCCCGTCTCGGTGGTCCCAGTTCCCCCTCCCCGAAGCCGCCTCGGTCCAGCAGCCACCGCCTCAAACCAACGCCCCCGGCGTCTGCACCTGCGCAGTGCGCCTCCCGCGCGGCCCAGCCGGAACTACACTTCCCAGCAGGCTTCACGAGCCCTCCTTCCGGGCGCAGTCCTGAGGTGCAAAGTTCGAGGTCAAGTCTCTGGGTTTCCCAAGCTCGCTGCCAGTCCTAGTGACGCGATGGGCGGGGTGGGCGGGATGGACCTCCCGGTGAGGGCGGAGCGACCCCCTCCCACGGCCTTTCTTATCCCGGACCAGAGGACCCCAGGTTCCATTCCCCAGAGGCGGTCAGCATGATGTGGCTGTGGTGGGCGCTGGCGGCGGGGGTCGCGCTGCTCGTGACCAAGGTCCGGAGGCTCGTGGGCGGCGGCGGCGGCCGGAACCCCTTCTCCGAGGACGTGAGGAGGCCGCGGCAGCCGCTGGTGACCGACCGGGAGGCCCGCAAGAGGGTCCTCAAGCAAGGTGCGAATCCCGAGCCGAACCTCAGTTTCCCTCTTTGTAAAACGCTGCGTGAAGGTGGAGGGTTGGCGGCGAGGTGGCGTGGGCACAGGCGCGTGGGTTTCAGAGCGTGTCACTGGTGGGAGCCCACACCCAGGGAGATGAAGTCACCTGCTACTTAACGACCTCTGCCCCCGGCCTCAGTTTCCCCACGTGTCAGACTAGGGTGTAGCTCTGAGCCCCCCGGAGGGGCTGTCGGGGCCGAACGCGATCGAGTTCTAACTCTCTGGTCGCCCTGGCTCTGTGACCTCTAGTTGCGCAGCCCCACAGGTCCTTCACAACGAACGGCCTGGAGTGCACTAAAAATGTTTTTGTTTATGTAGATGGCATGTAGTATTAATTTATTGATAGAAGTACGAGGTTGTGGATGTGTAACAACAGCAGCGTGGCATGCACTTTCACATGTCCACTCCAGAGAATCAGTTTACTTTCCTTTTATACTTAAAGGCGATGTCTAATTTAGACCCTTTCTTGTTTCCCTATGCCTAGGACACACAACTTTCTCTTTTTGTAAAACTCTCTTGTCAGTTCAAAAGCCATCTTCTTGCTGATGGAGTCTGATTGCAGATAGAAGCATCTCCCCCCCCTTTTTTTTTTGCTTTCCTTATTATTATTATTTGGTCCATGTTTTCTTCTACAACACGACCAACATGGAAATATGCTCTGTGTGACTGAACATGCATAACACATCAAATTGCTTCATTCTCAAGGGGTGGGGGGGGGAGAGGGAGGAAGGGACAGAATCTAGAACTCAAAACCTTAAAAAGTGAATGCTAAAAATTTTTACATGTAATTGGAAAAAACCAAAATATTGTCCTCTCAAAAGAAAAAAAATCATTCTCTGATTTAAGATTAAATATTATTCTTGTTTTCAAATCTCTCTGTCATTTCAACCAGGGGTTGAACTGGCTCATAAGAGACAACATTTTAAATTTTCTTTATGCCTATATACACCTGGGAAACAGGCCTTGATTTGTTTTGATGGTTGTTGAAATTTAATCAAGTGATGAAGAAAATATTAATAATGCATACTAAACTTAAAAGTGTGTCATGCATACATTTTAGAGGAAAGGGTGTTTCTGGAGAGACAATTTAAACGTTTACAGCATAAGCCTGACTTAAATGTACTACTGCTTGGCCACTCATCTCTTTTTACCTGTTTTTTTTAAACTTTAATAGTATTCCCCCCCCCAATTACATGTCAAGTCAATTTTCAGCATTCATTTTAAAAGATCCTGAGCCTCAGACTCTTCTCCCTCCCTCCCCTCCTTCTTCGTAAAATAGTAGGCATTTTGATATAGGTTATGAATGTGCTATAATGCAAAATATATTTCCACATTAATCACAGTTGTGAAAGAAGAAACAGATCAAAAGGAAAACAAAAAACAAAAGAATAAAGTAAGTGAAAAAAGTATGCTTTGCTCTACATTCAGAGTCCATCAGTTTTTTATCTGGATGTGGATAGCATTTTCCTTCCTGAGTCCTTTGTCCGTGTCTTAGATCATTGTGTTGCTGAGAGAGCTGAGCTGATTCCTTCATAGTTGATCATCACACAATATTGCTGATACTGTGGACAATACCTTCCTGGTTCTGCTCATTTCACTTTGTGTCAGTTTGTAAAAATCTTTTCAGGATTTTCTGAAATCTGCCTGTTCATCATTTCTTATTGCACAATTCCATCACATTCATATACAACAGCTCGTTTGGCCATTCTCCAGTTGATGGGCATCCCCTCAGTTTCCACTATTTTGCCACCATGAAAAGGACTGCTTTATATATTTTTGTACATGTGGGTCCTTGTCCCTTTTTTGTGATCTCTTTGAGATACAGACCTAGTAGTGGTATTGCTGAAGGCTAGGGCCCCTTCCAGCCCCACCATGAATGACTGGTACCACAGCTCCATGCCCTGCAGATGAGCTGTCAGGACCAAATGTGGAGGAGTTCTAAGTGTCTGGTCACCCTGGCTCTGTGACCTCTAGCTATGAAGTACTACAGGTCCCTCACAATGAACCGCCTCGAGTGCTCATTTGTGAGGAGTTCAATTACCGTTGGAGCTCCTATTCCTTGCCCCCGGCACAGAATAGCTTTTTAATGAGTGCTCTGGTCATCCAAAGCCTGGGCACTTCCCTTCTTCTCATTGCATCCCACAGTCCCCTATGGCTGCCGTCCTATGCCTTGTCTCCACTTCTCAGATAAACTCCTTGGAAAAGGGGCTACTCTCAGTGCCTGCCTTGCTCTCTTCTCAGGCCTTTACAATCTGACTTCCATCCTCTTCTTTCAGTTGAAACTGATCTCTCCCCAATGACCAGATTTCTTGTTTGTGATTTTAAACAAAAATCTATCTTTTCTTCCTCCCCTCATCCCGTATTGAAAAAAAAAAAAAAAAGGCCTCTTGTAACAAACATGCTTAGTCAAGGAAAACTGATTCCCACGTTGGCCATATAAAAAAAAAAATTCCCCAGCTATACCCTGAGTATGTTACCTCTGTCAGGAGGTTCTGTTAGTCTTCTGCAATCCTCCTTGGGCACTGCATTCACCAGAGTTCTTATGTCTTTCCAAGCTGTTTGTCTTAACAGTGTTCTCCTGCTTTAGCTTTCTTCCCTCTGTGTCATTTCATTCAAGGCTTCCCTGGCTCCTATTATAGTATCATATTTATATTTCATGATTTTTTCAGCCATTCCTCATTGGATGGGCACCCTCATAGTTTCCAGTTCTTTACCATCACAAAAAACGAGCTGGTAGAAATATTTTTGTATGCGTAGAGTCCTTCTGCTCTATCTTTGACCTTTTTGGTTATAGGACTAGAAATGAGTTCATAATTAACTAACTCTTTAGGCATGGTTCCAAATTACTTGCCAGAATGGCTGAAGCAATTCACAGCTGTGCCAACAGGGCATTTAATGTGCCCGTGATGTTCCAACACTTGTTATTTTCCTCTTTTGTCATCTTTGCCTATCTGATGGATGTGAGGTGGAACCTCAGAGTTAATGTAATTTGTATTTTTCTAATTATTAGTGATTTTTATCATTTTTTTCATATGGCCATTGATAACTTGGGTTTCTTCCTTAGAAAACTGCCTGTTTTCACCACTTATCAATTGGGAATGTCTTTTATTATAGATTTGAACGAATTCCTTTTAGATCTTGAAAATGAAATTCTTATCAGTGAAGCTTGTTGCAAAGATTCCCCTCCCTGCCCCTGTATGTTTCTCTTCTCATTTTAGTTGCACTGGGTTTTTTATGCAAAAACTTTTTAATTTCATGTAATCAAAATTGTCTGTTTTAGATCCTCTCTAGCCCACATTTGGTCATGAGTTCTTCCCTTTACTTTCTTCCTTGCTTCCCTGATTGTTTATGATGCCATCCTTAATGTCCCTAAGTCACGTATCCATCAGTGATCTCTTAATTGTCAGATCTGTGGCCTAATCCTCCTCGGCCTCTCCTGGAAGGTATTGACCACCTTCTCCTCCTGGAAATTCTCTTCTCTCAGTTCTGGTGGCGCTGCTTTCTCTTGGTTCTCCTCCCGCCTCCCTGACTACTCCTCAAATGGATCTTCATTCCTGTCACACCTACGACCTCTTGGTGTCCCCAAAGCTCTACCTTGGGATCTCTTCTCTCTCTACACTCTCTCACTTGGAGATCTCATCAGCTCCCATGGATTTGATGCTCACCTCTCTGCAGATGGATTCCTATATCTCTAGACCCAGCCCTAGTCTCCTCAGCCCCAATCCTACATCACCAACTGTCTCTTAGACATTACAAAGAGGAGATCCCATGGGCATCTCAAATTTAACATGTCCAAAACTGACCTTATTCTCTTTATCCCCAGACATTCCCCTCTTTTGAACTTTCCTGTTACTTTTGAGGGAACCACCATCCATCTTCCCAGGCTCCCAGGCTTGCAAACACAGCATCATCCTTGATTCCTCCCTTTAATTACCAGTCAGTTGTCTCATCTTATTGTTTTTCTCCTCATCCCATAGTTCTATAGTTTCCCTTCTCTCTGCTCTAGCCATCATCCTAGTTTAGACCGTCCTCACCTCTTGCCTCTACTATTATAGCCTTCTAATTAATCTCCCTGCCTTAAGTGTCTTCCTATTCTAATTTATCCTCCATTCAGCTATTAGATCTGATCATCTTCTCTTTTCTCTTCCCTTCTCCCTTTTCCCATCCTTCCCCGATTGAATGGACTCCAATGGGTGCCCTGTTACTTCTAGGATCAAGTAACGATTCCTCTGTTTGGCCTGTAAAACTCTTTATAACTCAGCCCCTTCCTAACTTTCCCTGATTCTTATCCCCTTCACACACTATCCATCTATCCTCGCCATACTGGATACTTGCTATTCCTAATTTAAAAAATAATAATAATAGCTCTCCTTTATATGGCACTTACTATGTGCCAGGCACTCTGCTAAGTGCTTTACAAATATTTTCATCTGGGGCAGCTAGGTGGCGCAGTGGATAGAGCACTGGCCCTGGAGTCAGGACAACCTGAATTCAAATATGGCCTCAGACCAAATACTTGACACTTACTAGCTGTGTGACCCTGGGCAAGTCACTTAACCCCAATTGCCTAAAACAAAATTAAAAAAACAAATATTTTCATCCTTACAACAACCCTAGGAGGTAGGTGCTTTTATTATCTCCATTTCACAGATGTGGAAACTGAGGCAAACAGAAGTTACGTGGCATGCCCAGGGTCACACTAAAGCTAGGAAGTGTCTGAGGCAAGATTTGAACTCATCTTTTCCAGCTCTCTGGGCACTGTGGCAATGCCAGTTCTTCCAATCAGTGATGCTCCATCTCCACATTGAGCCTTTGCACTGGCTGTTCCACAAACCTAGAATGTTCCCCCTCCTCACCTCACCCTCTTCTGCTCCAGTGTCACCTTTTTAAGGGGCCCTTCCCAGTCTCCCAGCTCCCTCCCAGGTTACCTGCCATCTACTCCATATGTACCTATATCCGTAACTCTAAGCTTCTCCTAGGCAGGGCTGCTTTTCTTGTATCTTAAGTGCTCCCTAGGCAGGGCCCCTTCCCCAAAGCTGAGACACCCCTCATTGGATGTGTTTGAGGTGGACTCAGAGACCCCTGAGGGCCTCGCCTACAAGATTGCAGAGTTCAGCAGAGAGGTGGATTTGGAATCCAAGGACCTGGCTTTGATTCCTGGCTCTGTTATATTTATGTCCAGGCTGTCCCATAACATTTGTTATTCTATTCAGCAAACATTTCTTAACCGCTTGCCTTGTGCAAGATACCTCGCCTTCTCTCTGCTCCTACGCTGGTTCTCAGTCCCTAATCCTATGGTTGTTGTTGTTTGTCCTGTGTTCTTGAAGAGGGACCATGAAATCACGGGGGTGATGCCATGACATGCGAGTGAGTTAGATTGAGGTGAAGGAGAGCTGTGCAGGGTCACCAGCCTCACTGTCTCCGCCTGAGTCATCTGGCTGCAGCGGCAAGGTACAGATCAGGACAATTGGAAATGGCCCCGGATGCAGTGGGAGACCTTGGCCTTTTTAACCTAGAGTCTTTAACAGGTCTCAGTTTGACTGAGGCAACACCGATTCAAGTGATTAAGGCTAGGTAAGAAATGGGGCAGAGATTGGCCTTTTTTTATCTAGGCAAAAAAAAAAAAATCAGTCTGAGAGGATAAGACCCAGAATTTTATGCTATTGTTGTTTGGACTCCAGGTTCTCAGCTCACCTTTGTGTGATAATCTGATTATCTGATGAGTTATCTGATGTATTATCTGATGAGTCAGGGCCTCCTCAGCTGTGGGAAAATTTTCACTGGAATAGATGATGCCAATTCAGATTACATATCTCACTGCCTTTGAGACAGAGGTTCTTGCCCATACTTGTATTGTGGCTTTTCTCATTGTACTTGGCCAGAGATGCTTCCTCAGTTTCCACATTTCTCCTCGCACTCATCTGGTACCGTCTCGAAGGTTGACACACTGTCTCTCCCACACTTTGTTTTACAGCTTTCTCGGCTAGCCGTGTGCCGGACCAGCTGGATGCCGTGGTGATCGGGAGTGGCATTGGGGGCCTGGCGGCAGCGGCCATCCTCGCCAAAGCAGGAAAGAGAGTCCTGGTGCTGGAGCAGCACACCAAGGCAGGTGGCTCCTGCCATACCTTTGGCCATAATGGTCTGGAGTTTGACACAGGTAAAGTGGGTCTGGGGAGGAACTGGCATCCTCTATTTCAGGGCACACGTGAGGGTGGATGGACAGGGTAGGGGAGAGAAGGCTGAACTCAGTCACAGGACTGGAGGCCAGAGCTGGGCTCTGCTTCCTACTGCCTCCCTGGGCCTCAGTTTCCATATTTGTAAAATGAGGAAGATGGGACCAGTTGGTGTCTGAGGTCCCTTCCACCTCCAGACTAATGACCTTATTAAAGTTCTGCTTCTGTGGCACCAGGTGACTTGGATCAGGAGTTAGAGGAGACCCTGGGCATCCTCATTGGTTTAGCCAGTCCCTCTCCTTCCTAGGGACTCTTTTTTTCTTCCAATACACAAGAATTCTCCATTGCCTTGTTCATGATTCACGCATAGACCAAACAGAGATGATGTGCTTACAGCAGGGGAGGTTATCCTTACTTCTGGGTCAAACCCAGGCAACAAGCCTTTTTAAAGTCCTAACTCTGGGCCAGGTCCGCTACTAAGCACTGGGAACATAAATACAAGCAAAAAGAGACAGGCCCTGCCTTCAAAGAGCTTACGTTCTAATGGGGAAAAGGGATGGGGTGGAACTTGTCTGGTCTGGCCCTTCATCAAAATGGAGGTTTGGAGAGGCACTCACCAATGGGAGAAGGGGACCCAGGGAGGGTGGGTCAGGCAGAGAAGGTAGCTGAGTCACCAGGGGCAAAGTCGCGAGAATGAAGGATGGCTCGACTGGGTCCCTTCTCAAAATGGCGGCTCTGAGAAGAGCTCACCAGTGGGAGAAGGAGGCCCCAGCACTGTGGGGAGAAGACCGCAGAGCACTAGTGGCACAGTCTGGGGAGTAAAAAAAAAAAAGAAAACAAAACCCAAGCTTTTATTGAGTGCCTGCTGTGTGCCGGGCACTGTGCTAAGCCTTTCCAACTATCTTATCTCGTGTGATCCGCCCAGCAATCCTGGGAAGTAGCTGCCCAGTGAAGGACAGCTGGTCTTGGGCTTTCCTCTTAGCAAAGGCTGATCCCAGGGCTGATGTATGTGAGGGGAAGTTTGGGAGCTTCCAGCCACCTTCACGTCATTTGTAGGTCACCTTTCTCTACCTGTGTGGGTTGTGCTCAGCGGCATACCCTTTCCTTGCCACTGTTTGACAGGAATCCACTATGTTGGGCAGTTGAAAGACGGCAGCTTTAACCGCTTCCTCCTGGACCAGATCACGGAGGGGCAGCTGGACTGGGCTCCCTTGGACTCCCCCTTTGACATTCTGGTGCTGGAGGGACCCAACGGCAGAAGGGAGTTCCCCATGTATGCTGGGGAGAAAGCCTATGTTCAGGGCCTCAAGGAAAAGTTTCCTCATGAAGAAGCTGCCATTGACAAGTACATGAAGATGGTGAAGGTAAGACTGCGCTGACCTGGGAGGCTCCCCGCCACCTGCAGAGACCCAGGAAGGGCCAACATTGACCTGCAGGGGGAGGGGGGAGGAGGGACAAGAATTCTGGCCTCAACTGCTTCTCATCAGGACATTGGAGGTTTGCCTGGCACTCCCATGCCGTGGCATCAGGGATTTTCTCCTTTACAAGCACTGGGGGCTCCCATGAAGACAAAGACATGATCTGGCAGAGGTGGGCAGTTAAGTATTGGCACCTAACAGGTCAGTTAACAGCAGTCTGCCTCAGTTTCCTCATCTGTAAAATGTGGAAAATACTAGCACCTACCTCCCAAGGTTGTCACGAGGACCAAAGGAGATAATCCTTGTAAAGCTCTTAGCCTTGTGCCTGGCATGTTACAGTACGTGCCATCTAAAAGGTATTATTATTAACCAAACCATAGTAAGTTCTAGTTTATTAGATTAGCTCCTGTCACCTCACAGGATCCTGAAGAAAGGGGATTTGATGGAGGGAAGGAGGGCTCAGGCCAGGTTGGGAGCACTGAACCCTGCTGTGGAGAATGAGCCTTCTGTGGTCTGTGGGCAGTCAGAGTGGGAGGGGGCACAGCCTGAGGGCACTGGACAGAGGGGGTAGGGTCCATGACAGGAAAAGGAGACCCAAGTTGTGGTGGAAAAACCCTAAAACAAACACCCCACACTCCCCAGTATTACCTTGAGTAGAGAAGGGCAGGGCTCAGGTCAATGTGTTCACCAGGAACAGCACTGGTTCTTACTAAGTTAAGGATTAATGAGTCAAATGTTCAAAATGCAAATCTTTCTAAGAATGACTTGGGAAATGCTGGGAGGGACACCCCTTTAAATTCGGAATATGCATCTTCCCCAGACTGCTTAGTGATTGAAATCTGGCCCATGTCACTGGGGCCTCAGCTCTCTGGGCTGGCAGGAACAGGGATGCAGTAACTTCTTTCTCCCTGGGTTCCTTTCTTTCCCCAGGAGGTAGCAAAAGGAATCCCTCATATGATCAAGTTGAAGCTCATCCCTTTGCCCGTGGTGAAGCTGCTGGACAGTTTGGGGGTGCTGGCCTTATTCTCCCCTTTCTTGAGAGCAGCCACCCAGAGCTTAGCAGATGTGCTCAACCAGCTGCCTGCCTCCCAGGAACTCAAAACCATGCTCAGCTACATCTTTCCCACCTATGGTACGGACCTTGAGCTCTGGGGATACTGGGGATAAAGGGAGCAGCCAGGGGTGAGGGGTGGTTTAGCGGCCCACATGGACAGGCTGCTGCTCTCCTGGCTCTCCTTGATTTGCTGGCAGTGGGGGGAAGGGAAGTTTATGCCTGTGGCCCTCAAGAGCCTGTTAACCAGAGGACTGGTCATTTGTAGGTCACTAGGTGATGCATTGCATGGAGCGCTGGGCCTTGAGTCAGGAGGACCTGAGTTCAAATCCAGCCTCAGACATTTACTAGCTGTGTGACCCTGAGCAAGTCACTTAACCTCTGTTTGCCTCAGTTTTCTCAACTATAAAATGGGGATCCTAGTAGCATCCACCTCCTAGGGTTGGCGTGAGGAACAGTGACTTCATATGTGTAACTTGCTGAGTACAGTGCCTGGCATATAGTTGATGCTGTATAATTCTGGTTGTCTTCATTATTATTATTGTCACTCTCCCAGCTGGAATGGGTTCTGATCTGCTGGAGGGAGGGCCAACGTGGATTAGATTACAAATCCATTAGCTTGGACAGAATATTGGACTTGTCACCAGCGGAGCTGGGTTCAGGTCCTGACTCTACCACTGAACAGCTGGGCGACCAATAAGCACTCAGTTCACCTGTGAGCCTCAGTTTCCCTAATTGAAATAATACCTGTACTTCCAACCTATTAAATTTGTTCAGAGATAATAGATGTGAAGTGCTTTTTAAGTCACAAAACACTATACATGTGAGTCGTTCTTTATTACTCTGTTGATGTCATAAAGGTCCTTGCTAATGCTTCTTCTTCATGCCAAAGGAATTTGGGTTCTACTGTCACCTCCACCACTTGGATTCAAGCCCTCATCACCTCTCACCCAGACTTGTCGTGACCTTTGCTTTCCCTGCCTCAAGTCTATACGCTTACCATCTTATACGGTTGCTAAAGGGCATCTGACCACACCATGCCCTGACTCAAGAAACTCCAGAAGTTCCTCATCATGGCTGGGATCAAATGGAGATGTCACAACCTGTCTCTAACCTACCTATCCAACCAGCCTTATTAGCAATATATTAGTTATTCCACTTCCTTGGCATTCCGCAATATAGCCGAGCCGAACTTTTTGTTGCTCTCATCTCCCTTCTTTTCTCTAGCTGTCAACCATGCTTGGAATGTGTTCTCCTCAGCTGTGTTTCAGAGAATCCCTCATTTCCTTCAAATCTTACATCAAGCACCACCTTTCCATGAAGCTTTTCCCCATCTCCCCAGCTCCTAGTGCCCTCCTTCCCCCAAATCCTTAGTATCCGTTTCACATAATCAACTCCATGTATACATTTCTGTGTAAACATCTCCACCAATAGAAGACAGTAAGGACCTTTTCTTTTTGTCTTTGTAGCCTCACCTGCTTAGCATAGGGCCTGGCATATGATGTTTAATAAAACAAAATGTTGACTGGTTGACTCTTTGAAGATGTAAAATCATATTGGTTGTTCATGTCCCAGATGGCTCTAGAGGAGAGAGTGAGGCTGGTGACTTTGCACAGCCCGCCTCACTTAAATCCAAACACTTGCAAGTCATGACATCACCTGCCTGATGTTGAGGTCAAACAATCAAACAATGAGTGAATGAATGTCACTGTACCCCATAAAAGTTCCCTTCACTCCATGCCCTGGAGCTCTTGCTGTACTGTGAGATGTGGCTGTCATCTTTAGATGTGACATTCCAGTCTTGGAGGAGAACTCTCCCATTGCCCCAGAGACTGTTGAAGTTCCCGGGTTTGGTTGTTTATTAAGGTTCCTGGATAGATTAGGTATTGGGGAAGATTCTGGTCCTGGAGGTAAAGTAAGGAAGCTTGTTTTGGAAGGGATTGTCATCCTGGCCTGTAAGGTATGAGTGCCAAGCCTAAAACACTGACCTTGCTTCTCTCCTGCAGGTGTTCCCCCAGAGAATGCCAGTTTCTCTATGCATGCCATCCTCATCAACCACTACCTTCATGGAGGCTTTTACCCTAGAGGAGGCGCCAGTGAAATCCCTTTTCACATTATCCCGGTGATTGAGAGGGCTGGGGGTGCAGTCCTTACCAGGGCAACAGTGGAGAGTGTGCTGCTGGATTCTGCTGGAAGAGCTTGTGGTGAGAGCTGGGGGTCGCATCATGAGAGTGGGGGCAGGTGGGACAGGCGCAGAAAAGTGAGACAAGGAAGGAGGATTGAGTCAGGGGCCAAGAGGCAGGTGATGGGGTATAGAGCCGGCTGCTACATGGGGACTAAACGCTGGGATCTGCAGCCAGGGCCTGGGGTGAGGAGTGTGGCTTTGGTGTGACCCATCTGAGAGCAGGGCTCCACCACATCCTTCATTGGTGAAATAGTTATTGGAGGTTTCCTATGTGCTAAGATGTTCTGCTAAGGGCTGTGGAGGTTACAGCAGTGAATAAAGCATGGTACTTGCCTTCAGGGAGCAGAGAATCACGTTCAGAAATACAGTTATGTAATCAGCAAGCACTTTTAAAATACCTGCTTTGTGCCAGGCTCTAGAAATGCAATGAAACAACAATAAAAATGCCCTTACCCTCAGAGAAATTACATGCTGTCAGAGATTCCGTGTACATTTAAAAAGGGCATACAAGATCAATGTAAGGTAGAAGTTTCCTGTGAGGGGAAGGATGAGCTGCAGGGGGATTGACATCAGGAAAAGGCTTTATGTAGGGAGTGGTGCTGGAGTAGAATCTGAAGGAAGCCATGGAAGCTCAGAGGCTAAGTGGAGATGCAAGTACCTTCCAGGCAGGAGACACGGCCTTGTCCAGGTTAGGTGGAGGGATGTGGGAGGTAGGGTGTGAGGTCCATCTATCTGGGTGGGCCATAGGCTGCAGAAAGGGGAGTAAGGCATAAGACACT